ACTAATCCTGATGTTAGATGGGAGTATTGTAATATCACTCGATGTCCATACGGTAAGAATAAATGTAGTTAGAGATGGATAAGATGGACACCAAAACTAAAACCATTTTAGGGTGGGGGGCATGCAAAATTATTATCCTATTTTACTTGTATATTCAATAAAACATATAGAGAGTGGGGGGTCGCGTCAATAATACATGATCAAAGGGAGGCATTTGAAAAAATTGTATTCAATTAGGGAGGGGGCACCCCCCTCCTGATAAAAAATGAACGGTTCCTTAACAAAAAACCACTCTATCTATTCTCCTCTTTTACTAGACGTATCACAAGGCTATGTTATTACTTTGAGTGACGCACAAAAATACAACCACACGCTAAGCGCCCAGGGAAATGTACAAGTACGATCTTCTGGAGCACAAAAGTCATCAGGGTCCAAATCACAAGGGGGCAAAAAGAAAAAGGCCAAAATGGGCAAAAAGAGGTCCGGATCACGAAAACGCTCCAAATCAAGAAAAGGGTCAAAATCAAGCCGAAGCCGAAGCCGAAGCCGAAGGGGAAGAAAACGATCACGAAAAAACTCAAAAACTAAGAAAAGCTCAAAATCCAACAATGGTTGATTGATAAAAGTGACTATTTCCGAGATGCGGTTGCGCGTTCACGAAAATCGCAGGCGTACGCATGGAAACGAGGTATTTGGGTGCAAAAATATAAACCACCTCCATAACACTGCCGGAAAATAGGATTTTTCATGCGCGCGTCTAGCTACATTGTTGAACGTGTTCGCGCATGCTCGGAAATTGTCTATCGCAACATAGGACATTAATTTAGCATACACAGTAGAGAACTGCTGAACCATGTGGGAGAAGTACAAGAAATGTTATATCCAGGCAATCGAAATATCGAGTGTGTGCTATTCTGAACCAGTTTGCGTACAGGTAGTAAAACTAGCTTTTAATTCCTGTGTTTTCTTAATTTTATTAATAATAATTATGTTAATATATAATGGCGGGAAATAGGTGTAGGAAAGGTTCAAGATGTAAAGTTTTTCCGTCGTATATAGTAAGGCTAATATTGAGTAGTTGAGTGCATTGCAGTGAAGTCCTTAAACCCGTGAAACAAAACTGTTAAAGTGGAGTGTACGAACGCTCTGTTCGTTTTCGTTTGTATATAAATTAGCTGACTTTCTCTTGCATGATCGCATCACTATTCCTTTCGAAGAGTTTTTACATTTGCTTGAATTTTTTTTTAATGTTATATATAAAATATGAGCGGTTGATCTTTATGGTCATTTAAAACTGTGAGCTGAAAGCTCTTTGATTCATTTTCTCCGAGCCGAATAACCACCTCCCGAAACGTTCAGTTAAAAATGTAGATATCGACGGAGCAAGAGACAGACGTGGACTGTGAAAAACAGTCCTACAGTAACCTAAGAATCGGAATATTTTACTAAGTATTAGTGACAAGTTATTGTAGTATTACTCTAGTGATGAGAGAGGGGTCAACGCCCTGTCAATGTGTCTAAGTAAATTGCTGACCACGCCTAAAATGTGCATTGATACCCATGTAGAACTTCTAACCTGTTGTAAACAAGCTTGAGAAATAAAAAACAGATACTCTGTCATTGTTGTTATTATTATTATCATTATTATAATGATCACTAAGTTCTTTTGAAAAAATCGTTCGTTCTAAGTTAGTATTTTGAAGACTAACCTTGGTTGTTAAAAGTCGGATCCTTAATCCATATAACCAAAATTTTGATCCCCAATTCTTGCCCTGATCTTTACATTGCTTTTGTGATCCCAATTCCTAAGATATTGATCCTAATTCAAAATCTAAAGCTTAGATCCTTAAGCCGCCAAAATAACCCTGATAACTCATTACTAGATTGTACAGTCGGTTCAGTTTCATTGTTTGCTAAGAGCTGAGACGATTAGTTTTAATTACATTTGCTTGAATTATTATCGTCAAAATACMAATATTTTATATATCACTGAAAACATGAAAGCTCACCTTCTGGACCGTTTAAAAAATATAATATGTTCGATACACCCACAATATTTACTTACAGCCTCACACGATGGCCAAGCTTTAGTATCTTTATATTTCAAGTTCATAGGATTATAAGTTGAATRACGATCTCTCACAATGCACAATTTCACATAATGAAAAAAGGAAAAACATATCACGTACAAAGAAAGTCGTCTACAAATATGTCAGCAAATATGTCAGTAAATTATTAGTTTATTGATTTGCACTTCACATATCATGCTTGAAATGACTGACATGCAACATAAGTACAACTTGTTCAACATTGATCCAAACGCACCCGTTTCCTATGGTAATTAATCACTGGGACTTCGTGGACATGATGAAAGATAAACTAAGCCATTCAATGAAAGAACGAGTCGACGTTGGTACAGCCGGAAAAGAAATGCACTAAAGCTAATTATAGTAATTTTTTATGTTGAAGACTATATTGTAGTTATTTTCATCAACGCGTGAAACAAAGTGTAATAATGTAGGATATAACGAAAGGACTACACGAAATGAATAAATGATGCAAAATAAAGAGCAGTAGTTAGACTGAAGTGCGTTTCACGGGCTTAAGTAAACTATTCATAAATCCGTGAAACAATGTTTGATAGTCAAAGTGTAATATTGTGGGATATAACGAAATGACTACACAAAATGATGCAAAATAAAGAGCAATAATTAGTAAAGTGTGTTTCACGGCTTTAAGTAAACAACGTATTTCGCTTTGGTGTACCAGCTTTTATTACATTTTGTTTCACGGCTTTTTGATAATACACATACCCTTACATATAATAATATACCGTCATTCCCTGAATGATGACACTTTCTGACTAGCTTGCCCAAAAGTGCGCGTTACATTCCCGATTAACGATGCTTTCGAGAAAAAGTGGATTTTTCTAAATCCAGTTTGGAAAATTGAAAAAAAAAATTATCTAAAAATTTGCACCATGATGAAGATTGTATGTTGGCCATAACGAACAGAGAACAAATAAGATTCCTTTTTCGAGAGGTTTGTCAACTGCGTGACCTCGACGAAGTAAGTTTTTAGGCCCATTCTCACAACCGCCGAATCTGCATTTGACACATGGCAGAAAATACAACATTCGTAGCTTGCTTAACGAGGAATATCTGAATCGGCGCAAATCTTCCTAAAGAAAAAATGTACAAAAGTGCTCAGTGTCTTCTTCCTTGTTCGATATTTTCAGAGAAATTTCCCGAGCTCTTCACAGCTTTTGAAAGMATTCCATAGTTGTTGCTTTTGAAACGAGAATTCAGAAAGTTCTGTAATAATATATTTCCATGTAAAGGTTTTTCATCTTTTGGCAAAACAAGTGTGCAATAAAAACAACAGCAGCGACAGCATCAAAAAGGGTAACCGCAAGACGATTTTCAGATAAAAAATGCCAGACATTTCCGCGTTTTTTGGTGATTATATCATTGATTGTCTTGTAAAGGGAAATGATCGAGTGGTGGTTACAGATTAAAAGCTTGTTGTCAAATTGGTGCATTTCGGGGAAGGCATGCTGAAAATACCTCTCGACATAAAAAAGCGYAAAATAAACTTCACTCACTTTCGATTCATTTTTACATCTTTCCGTTTATCTTCTTGGATTAAAATACAATTTTATAAGCAAAATTCTCAGTCTAGAGAACTAGTAGGAAAAAAATGATTTCGTCCACTGACTTGGTCGCATTCTTGATGACATTTTGTTCTTTTCTATCGGAGAACCCTTTTATATTGAATTTCACCATCCCAATAACACACGTTTTGCGTTTCACGTTTTAAGTAAAGGATCTTATAAGCAAAGGTTTTTTTATTAAAGAACGATTTACATTATTTTCCTTAACTTTAAGGACAAACTGGCAAAAAGATGGCTTTAAAAAAGATATGCGAAAATGTGGGATTCCTAAATGTTAGCATTAAATCCGCCTGGAACTCAATATAAATTATTTCTACGCCTCGAATGTTAAAATCCATAAGTTTATAGTTCATATTGTTCTTAATTAAAACTAATGACCGGAAGTGTAGAGAGGAAAGAATGTAGTTGAGAAACGCGCAGCGATGACGCCATGTACGCCTAACTACAGTTACGGTTAACATTACGGAAAGCCAACGGAAATCAGCCGAACTGTAACCGAAAATGGGCGTCCATAAATAACATACCTTGAGTAAATAATAAAATGAAATCATGGCAATTATTATAAGAAAAAATTTAGCTGCGGGACGAGCTTCGATGACGTCAGGCTTACGGTTGCACTACGGAAAGTCAACGGAAATAAGCCGAACTGTAACCGTAAAAAATTGGGCGAAACATACCAGAAGGAAAATCAAAATTATAAGTTGGCATGTAATAGTTGAGGAACGCGCTTCAAGACGCCTTGGACGGCAAACGACGATGAACATTACGTACTAAGCGTTGAGGTTAACATTACGGAAAGGCAACGGAACATCAGCCGAACTGTAACCAAAAATGGGCGTCCATAAATAACATACCTTGAGTAATAAAGTGAAATCATGGCAACTATATTAAGCAAGAATGTAGCTTCGGAACGCGCTACGATGACGTTTGAATTACGATTGCACNACGGAAATAAGCCGAACTGTAACCGAAAAAAATTGGGCGAAACATACCAGAAGAAAAATCAAAATTATAAGTTGGCATGTAATAGTTGAGGAACGCGCTTCAAGACGCCTTGGACGGCAAACGACGATGAACATTACGTACTAAGCGTTGAGGTTAACATTACGGAAAGGCAACGGAACATCAGCCGAACTGTAACCAAAAATGGGCGTCCATAAATAACATACCTTGAGTAATAAAGTGAAATCATGGCAACTATATTAAGCAAGAATGTAGCTTCGGAACGCGCTACGATGACGTTTGAATTACGATTGCACTACGGAAAGTCAACGGAAATAAGCCTAACTGTTGCAAAAAAAGGAGGGCGTCAATAAGAAACATGCCACAAATGCAAATCAAAATTATAAGAGAGAACGTAGTTGAGGAACGCGCTTCAAGACGCCTCGGACGGCAAACGACGATGAACATTACGTACTAAGCATTAYGGTTAACATTACGGAAAGGCTGCGGAAATCAGCCGAACTGAAACCAATTGGCTGAGTAATGATCTAAACATGCTTCACTGTAAAAATAGCCATCAAGGATAAACAAACATGCCACACCCGGCATTTCAWGGATAACCGGTGATGACATATTCCCCCCCTAGCGGGGATTTTCTTTACTTCAAGCGCTGAAAACAAACCGGATCGTTTTACAGGGCGGGTCGTTGTTTTTTTTGGTCATTTATAGCAATAAATCGAGGATCATTGATATCAAGGCAGTATCGTGTGGTGCACAAGCCTTGTYCTCTGTAGGCTACACTAGACTGGAAGAAGCATGAACATTTGCTAAAATAATTAAGGTGAACTAAGATAGGATACATTTTATGTAACAACAACAACAAACATGACATTTTTGTAATTATGCCGTGTCGTGCACCCTGGAAAAATTTGATGTAATTATGATGTAAGTGTCCAAAATGATGTAAATCTTTTTTGCGCGATTTTTTCCAGTGCGTGRCGTTGCTGTATTCTTAAATCAGCAATTCCTGTYAAMGYAGCCAGSCGACGGGTTACGTGGCGTGTCYGTATCGTGATCCGTTGATTTGCAGAGTCGTACGAAAGCCTAATGGTAACTGTCCWAGTAGACTGTGTATGTCGCMACGCAGACTGCCGTCCACGGAAGGGGTAGGGCAAAGGGGTCAAGGAACACTGTAAAATAGCTAGAGTCGAATATCTGCGTATCACTTAAGTTCCTACTCTCATCCTAAACATAACATATTGAAATAAATAATATTTGTACAGCGTGSAAAAAGACTAAGAACTACCTAATTTCATAATTAGGGGAGGGGAGGGTATTCATTATTGTTGCCTTCCTTACTAATCACGTGTTGCGCTTGTTTTATTGCACCAAACAAGGGTTTGTTTTGGGGGCACTAACTTGAAGACAGAATAGAAATATGACATTAAAATATTCAACGTGAAAATCGTCTATGCCGCAAGAGACATGAGGATCTAACATGGTCGACCTATGAACCGCTGTACAAGACGAATGGGGTAACATGAAAGWTGTCGGTATCTTTAGCTTGTTTTGCTACTGTCGTTCTGKCTACTGCCGCTCAATTGAAGGCTTTGAACCTTTCAACATCTAAAGMGCCGATGCTATKTTGTTCATTGTGATCAGTGTAGTGATAGGAATTTGTTATGGGAGGGGTGGGTGGRGTATCAATTGTCTATCTGGTCACATGGAGTATCGGAAACACTTTGTAGCTACTATTTCTGCGTCGAACTTCATTGGTGTCTTTACATCAAATACTAGTAAAAGATGAACTATTTGATCGGCATCGATAATATAATACATAGACTTAGGTTTTTTTCAGTAATATTGCTTTTTTGTTGCTTGAGTACTCCTCTCAGTTCAGAGAGTGTTTTTTAGGTTAAGCGTCTTGGTTTCCGGTACGCCGCCGCCATTGTACTTGAGAAATACCGCACTTCCGGTCCAACCAATYGGAGAGAATAATAATTAT